CGGGTTTCTGCAATGTCGACATGGAGGAATCTTGTACCGGATACTTCACAGAAAAGTTCCAATTCATACAGAACATCCTGATGATTGAGGGCAGTTTCCCCATCTTGGTACGCAGTGCTCAAACATCTCAGACCATCGCCTCTCCTCACCGTTCTCGAGGTACTCAGCATTGAGTCCCACATCGTAGACATCGAATTGGTCCTGGAAAATGAGCGGATGCCAAGTGAAGATGGCGGCCTGGGGGTTCACAACACTGTCGGGAGGGTTAAGTCCAAAACGGGATCTCATCAAAGCATCGTGACGATTCATGGTGTCAATCCCTTCAAGAAAACCTTGCGATGCTTACGGCCCATGGTGGCCTTTTCATTGGGTCAAAAATGAGAAGTGAATGCAACATCTTGCAAAGCATCGGATGGAACATGTTGAGAAGGAGATGCATCATGACTTTCTGGGCGAACATCGGAATCGCTGTCAACAGTGATGGCCATGAAACCAACATGTTCAACCTTGCAATCACCCTCCGATTTCACATGGATGGGTTTCTCATCATCTTGGGAACATTCTGAAGAAGTTTCATACTCATATTCGTATGTGTATTCTGTGGAACTGGGGCTCACTGGATCAGAGGGGAATTCCTTCTTGGGTTCGACCTTGGGCTTTGGCTTGGGTTCAAGCTTGGGCTCAACCCGTTCTTTGAACTGAGTCCCATTGTCATCATCCCTGTCATCCCTCAAAGCGGGGTTCCAGTCTAAACCAACAAGTCTTTTGGGCCTTGGCGGCATTGAGGGTTTCTTCCTAGAATTAAAGGACCGGATAACCCCACATGACAACTTCTTCCAAAAAGCACGAAGCAAATGTGAAAATGAGATGAGAAAGGCAGGAGAGAGAAAGAGTTGTGTGTGAAAGAGTTGTGTGTGAAAAAGTTGTGTGTGACAATGTTGTGTGTGTGAAAGAGTTGTGTGTGAAAGAGTTGTGTGTGACAATTTTGTGTGTGACAATGTTGTGTGTGACAATGTTGTGTGTGACAATGTTGTGTGTGACAATGTTGTGTGTGAAAGAGTTGTGTGTGACAATGTTGCGTGAAAGAGTTGTGTGTGAAAAAGTTGTGTGTGTGACAATGTTGCGTGTGAGAATGTTGTGTCTGTAAGAGTTGTGTGTGAAAGAGTTGTGTGTGACAATGTTGTTTGTGAGAATGTTATGTGTGTAAGAGTTGTGTGTGTGACTATGTGGCGTGAGAATGTTGTGTGTGTGTGGGAGTTGTGTGTGACCATGTTGTGTGTGTGACAAAGTTGTGTGTGACAATGTTGTGTGTGAAAGAGTTGTGTGTAAGAGTTGCGCGTGACAATGTTGTGTGTGTGACAATGTTGTGTGTGTAAGAGTTGTGTGTGACAATGTTGTGTGTGAAAGAGTTGTGTGTAAGAGTTGCGCGTGACAATGTTGTGTGTGTGACAATGTTGTGTGTGTAAGAGTTGTGTGTGACAATGTTGTGTGTGAAAGAGTTGTGTGTAAGAGTTGTGCGTGACAATGTTGTGTGTGACAATGTTGTGTGTGTGACAATGTTGGGTGTGACAATGTTGTGTGTGTGTGACAAAGTTGTGTGACAATGTTGTGTGTGTGTAAGAGTTGTGTGTGACAATGTCGTGTGTGAAAGAGTTGTGTGTGACAATGCTGTGTGCGACAATGTTGTGGATGGCACCAAGTACCAAAGTGCACGTTCATGTCACCAAGCGAAACGCCTGCCACAAAAAGCGCACGTTCATGTCACCAAGTGCGCGCCTGCCACGCAAAGTGCACGTCCATGTGACCAAGTGCCACGCCTGCTACGCCACAAGCTGCGGCGTCAAACGCGCCCAAGCGGGCCCAAGCGCGCCACCAGAACCGTGAGTGCCTACGCCTGCCACGCAAAGTGCACGTGGATGGCAGCAAGTACCACGCCTGCCACACAAAGTGAACATTCATGTCACCAAGTGCCACGCCTGCCACGCACATGAGCCGCGGCGTCAAACGCGCCCAAGCGGGTCCAAGCACGCCACCAGAACCATTTCAGTGCCGCGAGCGCCGCGCCTGCCACGCAAAGTGCACGTGGATGGCACCAAGTACCACGCCGTTCATGTGACGAAGCGCCATCAAACACACCCAAGCGGGTCCAAGCGCGCCACCAGAGCCAGCCCAGTGCCGTGAGTGCCACGCCTGCCACGCAAAGTGAAGGTCGATGTCACAAAGTGCCACGCCTGGCACGCAAAAGAGGCGCGGCAACAGCGCCCAAGCCCGCACAAGCCGGCCCAAGCGCGCCACCAGAGCCAGCCCAGTGCTGTAAGTGCCACACCTGCCACAAAGAAAGCACGTGGATGTCACCAAGTGTGTGGCAATGTTGTGGGTGTCAAAGGTGCGTGTGAAAGAGTTGTGTGTGACAATGTTGTGTGTGAAGAGTTGTGTGTCACAATGTTGTGTGTGTAAGAGTTGTGTGTGACAGTGTTGTGTGTGAAAGAGTTGTGTTTGACAATGTTGTGTGAAAGAGTTGTGTGTGACAATGTTGTGCGTGAAAGAGTTGTGTGTGTAAGAGTTGTGTGTGACAATGTTGTGTGTGACAATGTTGTGTGTGACAATGTTGGGTGTGACAATGCTGTGTGTGACAAAGTTGTGTGTGACAATGTTGTGTGTGCAAGAGTTGTGTGTGACAATGTCGTGTGTGAAAGAGTTGTGTGTGACAATGTTGTGTGTGAAAGAGTTGTGTGTGACAATGTTGTGTGTGAAAGAGTTGTGTGTGAGAATGTTGTGCCTGTAAGATTTGTGTGTGTAGCCCGCTATAACACGCGGTTTTTCTATGAATAGACAGCAGGGGGGTCACCCACAACCTTGACTGGTGACCCAACGAAGAGGGTCAAGGTTTGTGCTGATATCTGGCCTGATCAGCCAGACGTACCTGCTAATTTCAAGTTTTCGCGAATGTTTACATTTTCCATCGTTGCGACACGAGGACCGCAGACCTAGGCTTCCCCAAGGCGAGTACTGTGAACCCATCTCCGGTGTGTTTGGGTGTTTGACCTCACTTGGTCGCACCGTCGGCTCCTTTCGGGGAGACCTAGAGCATGAGCGGGCATTTTCCCGTATAGATCGAAGGCAACCGCATAAGTCTGGTAATCAGCTTATGTGGGCTACGCCAGAGAAGTTGCCCCCGGTACTTGACTGGGATCAGCAATCAAGAGCCGGAGTCACTTCAGCGGAGGTGCGCTGATAGTGACGAGCATGAGACTAACCAGAAAAGAGAAGGTTCATAGAACCGGGAGAAGACGTGCATACGTCATTGAGAAGGTCCATATGGGACCATTGAGAAGGTATTTACAACCACAATTCGATACCTCGTCAAGTCCTGCACTTAGTTTCAACCCCCCTCGCCTCACTTCTGGTGTGATCCTGGATACATGGTTATAGCTGGATGCACCTCTTTTCTTCTCCCCGGTAGTTCCATGGATGCGGCATGCATAGCTTGGGAGACCGCCCTCCCTTCTCCTTCACGTCCTTTTGTCTCTCTCCTCCTTCCCCCTCTTCCCACCCACCCCACCCCTCTCTCCCCTCCTGCCCATAGCTCAGGTGTGTGTTTGTTCCTCCCGGTGGCTGTCCTGCTTCAGTTGTCTCCGCTGCTGCGGTTTTGCTTTGTTGCCTGTTGTGCTTGGTGGTGCCTGCTCTTTTGCGTGCCAGGGTTGGGTTCTTGTGTGCTTTCTCCCCCCGCCTTCCCCCCCTTCCTTTCTTTGTTCGGCCTGCTTGTTGTGTGCTCCCTCTGCTTGTTCTCTGCCTTTGTTGTGTTGTCCTTCGTTTCCCCGTTGTTTGTTGTGGCTGGCTGTCCTTGTTCCCTTCCCTCCTTTCCCCTCCCCCCACTTGTGTGTGTGTGTGTGTCAATACTGGCAGACTTTTTCACAACAGATTTATTCTGACTATACAGACAAATGGACATCCGACAAGGTCTTGAAGGTCAAACGGAAGTTTCAACACTTTGTCATTTCCTGCTTTGCGTCTTCAGTGGATGATTCAGTCTTATGGCAATCACATCTTTTGGACGAAGTACATCCTGATTGGCAAATGTTCTTGTATAAGAATACGGAATCTTTTGAGCAGTTTCTTCACTGATGGAAACTTTCGACTTCTTTGATGCATGGAACTTTCATTTTCAATTTCAGTAAAAAAAAGCCTCCTGAGGGAGGCCATTGTGTGGTTAGCCCGCTATAACACGCGGTTTTTCTATGAATAGACAGCAGGGGGGTCACCCACAACCTTGACTGGTGACCCAACGAAGAGGGTCAAGGTTTGTGCTGATATCTGGCCTGATCAGCCAGACGTACCTGCTAATTTCAAGTTTTCGCGAATGTTTACATTTTCCATCGTTGTGACACGAGGACCTGCAGACCTAGGCTTCCCCAAGGCGAGTACAAGAACACCCCCTTACCCTTCCTCTTGTGAACCCATCTCCAGTGTGACAATGTTGTGTGTGAAAGAGTTGTGTGTGACAATGTTGTGTGTGACAGAGTCGTGTGTGACAATGTTGTGTGTGAAAGAGTTGTGTGTGAAAGAGTTGTGTTTGACAATGTTGCGTGTGAGAATGTTGTGTCTGTAAGATTTGTGTGTGAAAGAGTTGTGTGTGACAGAGTTGTGTGTGAGAATGTTATGTGTGTAGGAGTTGTGTGTGTGTGTGACAATGTTGTGTGAGAATGTTATGTGTGTAAGAGTCGTGTGTGACCATGTTGCGTGTGACAAAGTTGTGTGTAACAATGTTGTGTGACAAGGAGAGGGAGGAGGAGGAGAAGGAGGAGGGCGCGGGATGCAGATCAAAAAACAAGAACCCCACGCAATGATGCGGGGAAAAATCCTTCCCATCAGCTGCGAAAGACGCCGTGTATACTTGAGGCTGCACAAAGGTCACAGTTTAGATCTCGCAGTCGGTGAACGAAGCTCCGTGGGGAAGTTCAGCACGGTTTTCGAACAAGGTCCAATTGTCACTGGATCCTCTACGACGCATGACGGTGGTCCGAAGCCAGCGGGATTGTTTCATCCATGTCGGCACAGGGATCACACTCGAACGGATGTATCCCCGATATGCTGCTGATTCTGATGCCATTCTTCTGCTGGAGGTCCGGTGACAAAGAGGAGTCGACAATCCAAAGGATTGTGTCTCGGTTGGTCTCAGTTTTGCAAACACCAATGCATAAACTGAGAACTTCACCAGTCAACCCATCCACATTGGCGTCAGCCCCATCGAACTCCCCGCGACCTGTGGTCGCCACCAGCTCACGCCTCAACCGGCTCTCCAGGTCGATGCGGGTCATCACCCTCTGAGGCGGAGGATGGGAAGGTTCGACTGGACGGAGAATGACAGGGGCTGCAGCTGAGGATGTCCTCTTCTCGGCGGAGTCATCGGCGATGGAGGGGCTGCTGATCGTCTCTGAGATGGGCGCCTTGGTGAACGTGAAGGTGATCTCGACGGACGCCTTCGTGGAGGAGTCCTGGAAGTCCTTCGACGCCTTTCCAGTGGGGAGCGCGTCCTCCTTGACCTTGATCTCCTCCTGGCGCTCTATAGTACCGTTAAGATCCTTTCCAGTTGTCGTTCCATATGACTCCCAGCCATGTCAGCAGCGAAGATCTCGGCCTCGATCTGCAGCGCCATGCGATGTCCTTCCCGGATCATCGTGATGCGGTGTTGTCACAGGACCATGTGATGCTCTCCCAGCCATCACGGCGCGATGTCCTATCAGGATCATCGGCTCGAAGTCCTGGATGGAGGTGGTGCTGAAGGAAGGCCCCTTCGCGAAGCCGTCTCCCTGACAGGTGGGCTCGGATGCTGAACTGGATGGCCAACAACTGATCGCACCGGATTCGGAACCAGATGAGGAAGAACACGGAAGGAACCTTGAATGTCCTGACAACAGGCATTTCGACCTCCGCGTGCCATCTCCGACCAATGGGAACTATTCCAGTGAATCAGCTCAACCAAGTACCCACGGCTCCTCAGCAGATGAAACATCGCGAAGCCAAAACCAACTGATCTGTGCCTGTCCGAAGTGCGCGACAGATTGATCAAAGCGCCTGCTGAATCTGCTGAGGCGACCGTCTGAAGAACCTGATTCATCAATCGGTCAAACCCGTCCGACTCCAAGATCCCACTTCGGATGCCGCCCCAAGTGAGTTCGATCAGCAGAAACATGCTCGGCGTTGTGCAACGCCTTGCAGCTGAAGTGCCTGAACAAACGTGGCGAGCTAGGGCTAATCAGCCTCTCAAATTGCCCGCCCGTAGTCACCAAGACATCGTTCGCCACCGAATTCACGGCGTTGCTCAGGTACTCTTAAGCAGCACGCGGGTCCCCAAACTGGGTACCGAAGTCATTGGTCAGTGAGACCATACCGCCAGCCATGGTGCGAGAATCGGATGTGAATCCTGTGAGTGCCCTGTATTTCCTGTGACATTTGGGAACTGGGTCATCCATTGATTCCTCAGTGGCATTTCTAAGGCCTTGTGTGAAATTTAACATCAACAGCCCTGTGCGTGAACATCTGAACCACTCAAGGGTTTTCCATGAATTGAAATTTCACATGTTCTCATGTTCTTCATGATCCCCAAGGCGGCTTGAGCATGTAGTGACAACAAGATGGGAGTGTCCCCTTAGGCAAGCTGCTGTGATTCTATCGCCCCATTCAAGACCCTGTCGGAATCTGCAAATCGCAAGGAAACTGGCACGGTTTTCAAACCTTCAGTCTTGGATCCTTTGGAGCCTAATCCCGCACAGCTCTTGGATTCCGTGGTCTTGAATGGGAAATCATATCCCAAAGCATTGAGCTTACGAGTTGCGTCTTCAGCCCATTTTGAGGAGTGGCAGCTACTGTTACATCCCTCATCTAAGATGCAGTACACGTCTCTCCCAGAGTACATGTCTATTCCTTCACCAGGAACCGCAACCATTCCATCTGGATGCCCAACTGGGTCATCCGTGAGATTCGCTGCAAGATGCAACAATGCTGGCAAACTGGGTGGGGATGTTGTCGATTTGTTCAGGGGTGAGGTGATCAACGTCATCCTCAACAATGGAATCAACAATTGCTATCTTGTTGATGGGGGCACTTTCAACCTTCTTGGCAATGGTAACCCGTTCCTTGCGAATAGCCATGGGGGCTTCATCAATGAAGGTTTGACACAACTTGCTAAAAGTGCGATGGGTAGTACGACTGGATCCTCTAAAATCAACATCAGCATGAGTGCAATTCTCTGGAGAAAACCTTGGGGCTTCATCCCTTCGGATGGTTTCTGAATGGCCACATACGAGACATGTTTTTCTGATGGTGTATTCAATCGATCCCCTCTCGTGAAATCCGTGCACTGGGTGCACTTGTTGGGCTTTGGTGGGTTCGGTGGGGTTTTCTTCGCAGAAATCGTCCTTGAGGGCATGTCTTCAACAGGATCATCATTGGGAATCTCCCTCAAGTAAACTCCAGCGTCATCAACATCGAAAAACTTGTCAACCCATGCAACCCATTCCTTCAAGTAAGGACTACACTCGAGTGGGTTCCTTCTTTGTCCACCAATAGAAGTTCCTCTGGGTGTGCAAGATATCCCAAAATGTCATCCCCTTGAACTGACCCATTGGGAAAACATATCCATGCTTCTCAGGCCTCAGTCTGGGATCAAGGTCCTGCGGTGTGGGAGTCCTCACGGATGCAACCCCACGCTGAGAAGATGCAGCACCTGATGAACGAGGATAGCCCTGACTGGATCTAACCTAGCTTGGCTTTCGGGTCGGATGCTCGGACGGCAATGTTGGCTGTCGCAATCTTCGGATATGAAACATCTACGTACACTCCATCATCGGACGGTGAATCGCTGAAATCAGCAAAGTGGGCAGCAGGTTTTGGGGCACTTTTGGGGTTTCCCTGCACCTTGTTTCCTGGAAACTTACATTGGGGGTCTCCGGCCCAATGGCCAATGCCACCACATCGGAGACATTGAGACAGTCGGTCACGCCTTTGCTGAAGGGTCAGCTGGCTGCGGACGAGCTTGCCCTTCTGGTTGCCTTTGAAACCCTTGCCTTTCCCCTGGCTTTGCCAAAGGCGGCATGTGTGGCAAGTTGCAACTGAATGGCATCACCAATCTGTCTATCATCACCATCATCTGGGAAATCAATCATTGCATTGAAAGCTACTGTTTCCGTTTCATCAACACCAGCAAACCATTCATAGTCATGTTCGGGGCTTCCAGGATCTTCCTGTTCCTCAATACCTCCAAATAAACCGACATACTTGTCTGGTTCATCCCCACCATCCTCATTCCAATTCTGGGATTCGTCCCACTCCTGATCTTCCCCTTCCGGGTAAGCCATGTGGGCAGATCTATTGAAACTGTATCCCTTGCCAGATTGAGATGATGAGGGCTTCCCCTTTTGTGATGGTTTCCCATACTTTCCCTGAGTTGAGTACCCTTTACTTTACCAGTACATGATCGGGACCCTTCACGGAGATGAATGCCGCTGTAGTGGCCAATCAAAACACGAGCAGTGCTCTCGAAGCTACCATCGGCTCTACAAGCCTTCACCACGAGAATCTCCTGTCGAGAAATCCCTGAAAGTTCAAGCATCAGCTCAATCCGGAAAGATTCAGAAACAGCCATGCCGGGATCTAGTTCAGTCAAAACATTCCACCAGCGACGATGGCGCTGCACATATGACAGCATGCTTTCTGAAGGTTGCCGTGACAAAGGACCACCAATCTGTTGTCCAGCACGAAAAAGTTCTTTCCCTTCCTCCAAGGCCCTGGGAAAAACATGATTCCGGATGGTCTCAATGAGTTGCGCTAGACCTCCAGGGCGTGATAGGGTTTCCAATCCCAAGTCTCTAGCCAAGAGAACAGCATCACCTCTAAGACCTTCTACAATCTTGTTAACTAAGATGCTTCTATCTGAAGGTGTCTTCTGCTTACCCTGTGACGAATCTGATTTCGGGGAAGCAGCTGTCTTTGGGGATGCAGCAGATTTTGGCGATGGGACATGTTGGCCAGAAAAGGGAAACTCTTCCTCAGTCGGCTCTCAACTAGGTTCTGCGGATGCAGTGGCAGCAGTCGCAGTCGCAGTCGCAGGTCCATCAACAGGATCCTGCTGCGACTGGGCTTGATCATGCAATCGGATTCTGAGTTCAGTTCGGAACTTCCAATCATGACAAGATGCGGCATCACCCCAATAGATGTATGACCCCGGTTTAATCTCTTGTGGGGATCCGGCAATTCTATTGGATGTTCCTGGCTGAAACTTAAGTCCGGCAATGGACATTTCGGCGGATGCTGGGTTGTGCCACATGGATCAACTGATTGCAGGGCTGTCTCACACTACTGAGTACAGCCGATTTCGGAGAACGAGTGCTCAAAGTCTGACGGTTGGATGAAAAAGAGCGAGGACAAGAAAGCGGTCACTGGATCTGCAACGTGCCCGGATGCAGGTCGTCACCTGCTCCGCTACCAATGTGAATTTGACACGGTATCGCGCAGTCCAAAAAGCAAAACAAGCCTTTTTCACAGCGCGTATGGCTTAAAGGGCACTACGATCCGATACAGCAGCGGATAGATGTGTCAACCTGGCTGCACACATGAGTGAAAGACATGGTAGAATTCACGCATCGTTTTTTTGACGGTTCTTAAGTGAAACAATGAACAAATCCAAGTTAACATAGTTCTTCATATCTTGGAAATAGCTCTTAGAAACAAACGTCTGAGCAAAATCCTTTGTCCAATAGCTCCGAACATGTTGCAAATAGTCCTGGAAATCGACCTACACCTTCACTGAGAGGCCAAATACACAGGGAGGTGAGGGTCCTAAGTCCTAAGGCGTTCTGTTGGTGTGTTTGTGTTTGTTTGTTGTTGTGGTGGTGGTGATTGTAAGTTGTTGGTTGTTGTTATTAGTTGGCAGTTGGTAGCTCTCTCATTTCGTCTACAGTTATATTTCCCAATGGTTCCCATCAATTTCGGTATATTCAATATTCTTGAAAACAGGAACTCTCAGCGGCACAGTGCCTGCACGTGTTGCAGTTTGAACCTTTCATTTTACATCATATCTGAAGCATTTGGGAGCTGGAACCCCAAGGTGTTTACGGGCCCGCCTGTCCGCCTAGTGTTGCACCCGGGTATTGAACCCAGGTCTGACGCATGAGGGATGCACTAGTCCATACCGGCCCTCTTTGGGAGCTGGAACCTCTGAGTTTGTATGGTTTTCGCCGCATTTTGAAACTCGAACTTATTCCCGAGAGCGTCTGAGCGCAGGGTTCTTCCAATAGTGGGGGTCTGTAAAACATCTTCTCATCTTCACATCTCATCTTCACATCTTCTCATCATCTTCACATCTTCTCATCATCTTCACATCTTTTCATCTTCACATCCTCTCATCTTCACATCCTCTCATCTTCACATCCTCTCATCTTCACATCTCATCTTCACATCCTCTCATCTTCACATCTTTTCATCTTTACATCCTCTCATCTTCACATCCTCTCATCTTCACATCTGCTCATCTTCACATCCTCTCATCTTCACATCCTCTCATCTTCCCATCTGCTCATCTTCACACCTTCCCATCTTCACATCTGCTCATCTTCACACCTTCCCATCTTCACATCTTCTCATCTTCACATCTGCTCA